GAGTCGTCCGATGAAAAATCGTCCGAGGGTCAGGATCCTTATTTCAAGAACAAGGATCCCGCTAACGAACACGAAAACTTCAAGGATGCTGAGGATCGACTCGATAAGAAACATCGCGAGAAGATCGAGAAGGTAGGTACATGACCGCCAGTAGAGCACAGACTAGCTTTCTCCCCATATGAAGTCAATTTTTGTGATATTCTGCAAGGCTGAATAGTCCTGTATACAAGTGTGGACCATTGCGGGCCATTTTCTCCAGTAGCTTATGGAGAGGAAATTTTAGCCTCGGGATGATAGCTCAAATTTCCATGTTCTCGCTTTTGTTGATATTCTGCATGCATTCCATGAAGCCCAAAAAGAGGAGGGAAAATGAGCTAGACCTTCCGCGTGCCATCAAGGCTATCATCACATCCACCAACGGTGAGGCGAGCAGCATGACAAAATCTCACTAATTATTTTGAGATGTTCACGGTCGTTCCAGCTCGATTAGATCAGCTTTGAAAGAGCGTTCCACTCTTCATCACATATTTTTAAGCAGTGGCGCCACGGTTGTCAATCCTGTAAGAAAGAACTAGGTGTTTTCCATAGACTATTTGTTATTTGACGTAAACTGAACGGGATTTGCGTTGGAGTGATCATTGGCTAGACACTCATAGAACACGGCTAAGGTCGCGGTGGCGCTGTGCCGACGTAGATGATCGGCAGGTGTCGGACATTGTAACCATCGCGCAGTTTGCTGACGGTACGGTCGCAAAGCTGTTTCCTGCTTTAGAGGGCAATAGATGGTGAGAGCGGTCTCTCCGATAGGAAACCGAATGACCGGGCCCATGCGCTGAGCTTGATTTCTGACCTGAGCTCCTGCACGTGGAGACTTCTTAGTGCCTTAGTGGTGGGAAAGGTGTTGGAATTCGGCAGAAACATGACAAGCTTTTCTTGACTCCTAACTTGTTCAAGTTACAGTGATTATTAGGTAGTGTTGAGAAAACCTTCCGCACGGCAGCCGCAAAAGGACAGTGGGGTTTTTCTAGTTGCTGGGTCTGCTCTGGAAATTTAACGTCAAATCAATCAGGTTGTGGAAGTCTATGTCGCATACCGTTAATTATGACGTAGTTTCACGTTGGACATTGGTGGTTCCTTTTCTTGCTACTAGTTGGAGGATTCAGGCAGTTGGAGGCAAAGGAAATAAAAGGAAGCAAGGTAAAAAACGAATATTTAAAAATCTTTATGTGAGTGTTCCTTACCCTCACTCCGACGTGGATGGGGTCTGGCTGGATACAGATCTTTCTGCAGGAAGTACCGCGATCGGCCTGCTCACCAGCACGCGGGATCTCATCAGTGATCTTGTGCTCACATTATTTTTAGCTTCAGAGCAACAACTCGAGATGAGATCGACCAAGTCGAAAAATCTATTCCGTGAGTAGGATAGACTAGTCTGCGGGTATCACAGTTGTTGTCGCAGATCGAAAGTGCGCGTCAACGGCGCTAATGCCTTATAATGTGAGTAATGACGTCCAATGTGAGCCAATGGACGAGATACCTCGTGCACGCCCTATGAAGCAAAGTGCTACTTCATACGCGCTGGTAGGAGCCTTTGAGCAAGTAACTCCAGACAACTCGTCCGCAACCCTTCCTCATTTCTAGAGGGAGGGCGGGATTCCTCGTTCAAGAACTCAATCGGCGGTTTACTTTCCCTCTTTTTTACACTTTCAGTCAACTCGGCATCCATAGGTTCATTGTCGACGCTGTTACACCAACATTTTGATTTGGGGTTGTTGCTTTAGGGTCTAAGTGTGAGTAATTGGGAATCCGGTATGTTACGACCATCTTTTGAACTACTTAATAATAAGGTATATTATCACATTTTCGGGTTCATTAATGAAATTGACAGTGTAAATTGCATCGTTAACATTTTGGGTCTACTAATATGTACTTATAAATAGTTTGTTGGGATAAAAAAAACTATCGTTCCTAGAGCAGTATTGCTTTCCCTACTGCCCCGTAAATTTGCCTGCTCAAAACCGTGAAATTTGCCTGCTCAAAACTTTGATCTTGAAATTTTTCAAGAAGACTCCAGCGTAACATTATCAGCCTCCTGTTCTTCTCTATTCATTCTTTTATGTGTTTTTTACAGGTTATGAAAGAATGGGGCGAATTGGAGGCTCGTTATCAGCAGATGAAAACAAAGGATGCCAAGGGCGCTGAATCCTTCAAAGTGTCGATGACAAATCGTTTCCAGAAGGTCAGATATTGCGAATGCTCTTGAGATGAAGGCTAAGATTGGGATTTTTTCGTCCGGGATTTTGGCCTCATTTTGGTGAAAATTTGTTCGAACTCGAACCTGTGGAGTATTCGTTATAATTAGCTGATGTAGTGCGTTCTCAGGAAGTGGCCAAAAGATCAGGGCTTTGTCGTAAATTCTTAGGAATGCTTGCAAACGCTCTCTTCTTTGAGTATTTTTTAAACATTTTTCCAAGTCATACTGCCATTTGCCTTCATTGCAGACCGTTGCTTCGTTGGAGGATGAGCACAAGCGCTCAAGAAACAACTCGAGACCACCCATGAAGAACGTGTTCAAGCTATTCTCAACGAGAAGAAGCGAACTGTTAGTCCAGTATACAAATTGCGAGATTGGATTTGTGATACATCGTGTTATTTCAGGCCACTCATGAATATCGCCAAGCACTCGCTATGCATGACAAATCGGCAAACAAACATCATGTGCTGAAAACGCTCAAGGTTTTTTTTTTGAATTGAGAATAACAAATTGTTACTTCTTTGGCAGCTAATCGATATTCTATCATTTACATCACTAAATTAGTTTCACATGAATTTTCTCATAGACCCTACATCCGTTCGGAAGAGAAGGACCGCATTCACACCATCAATCGATACCGTCATCTCCTGCGCGTCGATCAAGCCGAAGCTGCAGCATTCAAGCCGACGGTGCTGCACAGACTTCGGTACGGTGACCGTAAATTTTTCTCGGGTAAGATTAAGGAGAGGGCCACATAATAGTTCGGATTTTTAGATAATAATCTGCGTATCAACGGCACCCTAGCAATGCTGCGCGACTTCCCAGACCTCGAAAGTCAAGTACGCCCAATTGCAGGTATGGTAACCAATTTGAAATTTTTTCTTTGCTCTCGGCTTCAACGGGCCTCATAAGATAAATCTAGCGATCAGGTGTGGGCTGATTGGGGTAGAGCATTGTGAATAGCGGTCTAGGAATTCCTCGACCATGGCTGTCTACTGTGCGAGAGTAGTGTTGAGAGTGGCTGCAGGCGCGGAGAGCACAGACGGCTCGCGGGTGGGGAGGGTGAACATCTGCGCGGGGGAGCGCGACTGAAAAGGCCAAAACATTCGACGAGTCGTTGCTGTTTTCTTGACCGATTTTGGGATGTAACCATCGAAGGCGCGTTGGCCGCCCCCTGCGTCAATCAGTGGATGATTGCCTGGGAGCTTCCCAATCTTCCCTATCACCTTATCACTTCTCTTTTGAATACCTGATCCAGTTGACGTCCGGGGTGAAATAAGTACAACAAGGGTCTTCGGCTCAGTTAATGATTGTTAATAGTTACTAAGAGCGTTATGGTCCACGTTTCTGAACACTTTGATTGCACAGTACTCTTCGATGGGGTGCTAACAGCTTGTAAATCAGCCTAAGGGAAGCTACTTTCTAGAGTGTGTTTAAAGGTCTGTAAAGGACAGCATAGCTTGATGACACTATGAGTCCGGTGCAGCGAATTGCAATTCATTTGCTGTGCACGAAAAGTCATGCTACTACGACGAAGGCGTAGAGACATGCGCTTCGTAGTCAACTTCAAATCGAGTTGTTTGGACGGTCTGTGGTAACCTGGAATGATGGGAACTTGACTAAGCCTAGTCGTATAGTAATGACACATCTGATGGGAGCTTGATAGTATGTAAACGAAGGACGAGCGCTATTCCTATTTCCGGTTCCCAGCGCTTAGTCTTTGCGTCCCTATTTCCGATTCCTCCCAATCTTATTTCTGCCTGCGGACAAGTTCTGTAATTGTAGTACTATTTCCTACGGGTCACTCCACAAAGCAGGGGTGATATGATGAACCTCACGCCAGGTGGGCGATGCTGCATCTGCGTTAAGAATCTCGTTTGAATAGTGGTAGGTAGAGTCAGGAGGCCTCGCTTATCGCGCGGTCGGTGAAGGAGTAAAATTGCACGATTAGCTTAGACAGCTCGAACCCTCTGTCTTTCTGAAATCGGTTAGTTGCACAAAGCTCGAGAAGGAGAACAGCAACACCTACTAGCAGGGTGAATATCGGTCGAGGATTCCTCAACGGCACGTCGAGGATTTTCGCCTGATCAGTTACGTTCTCCCGCGCGGACATTCACACTCGCCATGCGCGAGCCGTCTGTGCTCTCCGCGCGTATGTTCACTCTCGGCACTACTCTCGCACAGTACAGAGCCATGGTCGAGGAATTCCTCGACCGTTATTCACCCTGTCCACCAGCATGTGGCAACTCATGTGACGAACCGCATTCTTATGTTTCTACAATTTCGATTGGTCATGAAGTGCGTAGCGCATACCGTACGTTATTGATCATGCTTGACAAACAAGAAATAGGATTTGACTTTTCACCAACTCATTTATCTGAATATTCATAGAAGCGTAACTTTTTCAGTGGCATACTGGTCTGACTTCCGTCGTGAGAACACGCCTGAGCTCTCTGATAGCGCTATTGATGCCCTCAATTCGCTCGACAGTGACGCAAAGAACAAGAAATTGGTTGATCTGTACAAGGTAAGTAGAGTTAAGTAGAACACAGCAGCAAATCAGCAACACTCCAATGAAACGAACAATGTAACCTACTTAAGGAAGCCTATGAGAAGCTTCATCCAAATGCTAAGCTAGATGTAAAGGCCCCTCCAACAACTTCTACTTCTACCACCACAACTACACAGAAGACCACCCAGGAGCCAGCTAAGGTGATTTTTCACGATATTTTCTCGAGATCAGGAATCAATACAAGCTACTAGTTTTCTATAAGTTCAAGCATATTATTCATAGTAAAAAAGGCTATGGACGGGAAATTAGGTATCCTATCGCCAGAATTCTTATGGACCTTCTTAAGGCAGCGATTACGATAAAGTGGGAGCGCATCGGGGAAGCATATGCACCACACGAAGCAGTTACTTGGCTGCCAAGGAAGCGAGGTGTAGCGCTTTCACGACGAAAGGTGCGCTGGTTGCTGAGCAGGACTTCGAAAGCACTCCGCCCCCAAAAGCGATCCGCCCACTAGTTTAGTTGGTGATTTGGACGAGCTGCGTTGCCAGCAGCGGCACAACTGGAGCAACTCGATTGGAGCGTGGTTTGGCATGGTGTCACCAAACGCGTTGCGCTGAACTCGTTCATACGTCCGCTTTCTGAGCTGTTACCTGTTCATGAGTGAAAACCAACGGCCAAAAAAGGGGTCCCATTTTGCGTTTTCTTGACGGATTTCTCCGCTTTTTCGCCACCGACGTACCATTGAGCACCACCACGTCTCCTAAAACCTTCTTGAACTATCGAAATCGCTGCCTTCAATAAATTGTTATTCGTTCAGCCCTTTATCTGAGGACTCCCGTGACTCCGAGGAGGACGATGATGATCTTATAGAGGATGAGCGATGAAGAAGAGGTTAATTAAGGACTCCATCCTATAGTAAAGAAACCTAAGGTAAGCACATAAAGTGTCTAAATGGCCGTGTTGGGTCAAAAGCAAATTGCTATGTCTTGTAGGTGATTGAAATTCTGAGAAAAGAAGAAGTGAGAAAGCCTGAGCCACCGAAACTCGTCGAGAAATCGGTACAGACTGAACCTATCCCAATGGATGACGATTCAAATTCGGATGAAAGCGATGAGGTGGCGTTCGCGTTTTTCTTCCTTCATTTTCTTTGCTCTGGTGACATTTCCTCTTCTTCCTCCTTAGTTCTCCGTAAACAGTCTTCATAGATTACTTTTTCAGGAATCCATCAAGGAGCTTCGTGTCGATATTGAACCTATTATTGAGGAGAAGCCAGCATTCTATCGCCAGGAAAAGCTCGTGCAGACGCAGGTTTGTACTACTATAACATGTATAGAAGAAGTTTTACATCTTTAAGAATGGTTCCAGCTCTCTTCATTTTCCTTGATGTCAAAAAACCTAGACGGAGCGTGAGACCGCGCCACATTTCCCCATGGGTCGCATTAGTCCATGTGTTGTTCAGCTATTGCTTTCCCCAAAACTTGTAGCTCCTAAAGTAATTTGTTTCCTGTCCAAATTTCCAATACAATGGGATGTGTTTTTTGGGTGAGCATTTCGAGGGAGAATGCGTTGATGCTCCTTATAATTGGTCAGGTGCTAGTACTTTAAAGGATAAAGGATAAAGCATTTGCCGTTGATCAATCCCTTTTTGGGATGCGGCACGCATTCTACTTCCATTTGTACATTCGCAGTGGCATTTGAATGCGATGTGGCCTATACAATGACTTGCGGGGGCCAGCCGATGTTCAAGTCAGTGTTTTTTATCCTCCCAGACAAGTCTGGTACCAATTAACCGACCCCGGAGGGATGGAAGGCTTGGTTGGCCCGGGCGACTCACGACCCAGGATTTGATCCCGGACCGCTCGTGGTGAGCGTGCCACTTGCCACTACACCACTTCCGCCCCATGCTGGTATTACTTCGTGTTTTGTGGAAACGAGGGTAGTTTTAGCACTTTTCACTTGAAGTTTTCCTATACGATGAGTGTCACTCACGAGGAGGGTTTTTAAGGGCAAGCCGCGCTTTTCCGGAATGGTTCCCCGCATATTGTAGGAACGCTTGTACACCATGTTTCATTTTCGCTGAACGGTTTTACTAATACAAAAAAGTAGTGAATGTTACTCTGATGGTTTCGATCCCCCGCGGCGACTAAATTTTGCAATCAAGGTTGGCGGCCACTTGTTGGCTTCAAAATGGTCCTGACGATGAATATGACATCTGATTTTGACATTTAGCGCGATTTGGCACCAACCGTAGGCGCCAACCCAAATGCAAAATTTAGTCGCCACGGGGATCGAACCATTGGCGGTACCTTGGACTCGTTTTTTAGTACTGCTAAAATTTCAGAATTGTTCTGTCCCGAAGTCTCATTTTGATCTGAATGTGTAATAAATCCCACATTATTTATTACTGCTAAAATTGTTCAGCGCAAATGAAACATGGTTTTGTGCTCTCTACATGGGGTTCTGTACCATGCAAGAAACCGTTTTGGAAAGCGCGGCTTACCCTGGAAGACTCCCTTGTCAGTACCTTCTTAACACTTTGACGTCCGACACGGGGTCTTGAGCTTGAAATCTTGCGAGGTGAACAAGCGAACACGTAAGGGCAACTTTGCACCATCAAGTGCTTATTGTGATTTTCGTGAATGGTATGAATAGCACTTCAAGTTCTGATCGAAGGAGAGGAAGGTGTTTCGGGTAGCTAGTTTGGTTTTTTTTTATCAGAGAGCAGGTATCTTCCGAGATTCCTCGCATAACCGCGTTGCTGTGAGCTACAATAAATGTACTTTGTTTAGAAGTCGATGTATCAGGAAAGTGGTTTGCTATCATCCTCACAGGCGGTGTTCATTGTGGGAGCTGTGGCGATTGTCTCGCTGACGATGTTGGTCGCAACTATTGTTCGACGTCGACGAGCGCATCACGGGTTCATCGAGGTCGGTTCTTTCCAATATAATGCTCACTGACATCGCTCTAATTCGATTTTCTGAATTATGGACTACGTAAGATCTTTTTGCGCGAAAGGGCTGAAGGGCGCGACCACTTTGAGTTCAGTTGCCACAGGAAGGGTTGTGAGGGTATGGTTCCGCAACCGCAAGACATCCCGTGACAGGATCACCCACAGTAGCGCGAAGAACAACGAGGAGTTTGTGTTTGGTCAATGGAAGGGGGAGGGGAGATCGTAAACTCAAGTACCAGTCACAAAATTTGAAGGTACCAAGGCATGGCAGTGGCAAGGAGGACAGACTTTCAACTACCACTGCGACTACTCACCACAGATTGAATGGCGCATCCCAGAGCGGGAGTTCTCACTGAAACACTTTATATTCCAGTGATCAAGAGCAAGCTGGTTCTTCCAGAGGAATTTCAATGCTTTCAGACAAATCAAAAGTGGGAAAAAGCGCAACGATTTTTTCCGATCGGTTTCTAGAGCCTTTTATGCAGTAGCAAATTTTTGAAGAAGAAAGTTGTCATTCCAGAGCTCTTCACGAAATTCCAGCACACATTTTAAAGCACTAGCCCTTCTAGATTTTAATAGTTTTTACCGCTTTATTGTTCGAATTTAAAGAACCTTACTGGCTTTTGAAGGTCGAAAATGTCCCAGCGCCCAAAAATGCCATAAAGGGAGAAAACGGATTAATTGGACTATTTTTTGAAAAGAGCGGTTTCTGGAAGAATATTATTATTTCCTCGTAAGCCTTAATCCTCTAAGCTTCTATTTAGATTGGGAGATCTTCAAGGAGTTGTATATGAAGGAACCTGTGAACGTTCGAATGTTGAGAACTCGCGTGTGCACAAAGAAAACTCATTGGTATTTGGAAAGTAGAGTTTTTGCGAGTACAAACATAGCTAGGCTTATGCAAAATGTTGGAATTTACCTCCATTAAGCTATTAAAATTACATGACGCCTCACGTCCCGTCGCCTGATCGAGACAAAGTGCGCGACGTATCAACTTCCCCCTGCCCCCTTTTTTTCTTGTCATGACGGTCCATACATGGAAGATGGTCATAAAAACATGTAAAAAAATAACAATAGCTGACACAGGGGTCGCACTGATACCCTCTGAGAGGGAGAGGGTCGTAAAAACTTTGAAATCTGCGCAGTGTACGGTTAAGCTGCCGCAGCCCGCAGCATCTGCGTCACGGTAAGAGGTAGAATGAGTGATAATTAGTCGCACGATGAGATCGGCTGTTCTTTCTGACTCGTCCCAATTTTAATTTTGTTAATATTAAAGTGGGCCGCATAATGTGATGTGCTATACAGGTGGACGTCTACACTCCAGAAGAACGTCACGTGGCTGGTATGCAGGTCAATGGCTACGAGAATCCGACGTATTCATTCTTCGACAGCAAGGCTTAAACTCTCATCAAAACCAACTATGTATAATGATTTGCACAAATTTTCTCATGTTATTTCTCTTACATTAACGAGCATTCCCCGCCCCCTACCCTTGTCCATTGAGTGCAGCCTGCTCCCCGGTCCTTTTTTTAATCAAGGCCCTCGTTGTCCACACCTGCTCTCGTGTCGTGAACGTCGTCTGATGAAGACGACGACGACACTTACCACTAGCGATTCATGCTCGTCGTCAATCTGATCGTATGATCGTGTGATTGTCGTCAGGACCATCGTCGTCATTCGTTTCACTGTCAATGTTCTCTAATCTCTCTATTATCTCAATTCATCCCTTATCCCACCCAATAACTCATGTGGTAAAACCACGAGTCATACTGGTTCACGACAGAATTGTACGTCGTACATTCACTAGGATCAGAAGGTTGAATCCCCTCGTCCAAAACCATAATTCATATTCACACAACAGCGTGGGGGCCAAACACACCAGCTGCGAGTGCATTCAACCGACCTCTGGGAAATACTAAGTGTTCGCGACTCAATCACCTTTTATTGACAGTTCGACAGAGGGAGAGCTAGAGATCAAAGTAATAATAGTGGTATTGTGTGTGTTGTGCTACTTACTAACAGTGTTCTTTTCTGAGGACAACAATGTTGTGATGATGTTCCGAAATTAAATCCGAAGGATGGTATGTTACATTGTTGCGACTAGCGTTAGCCTTATCGCAGCACATGTAGCACAGCGATCAAAGGACCTATGGCTTGTGTCTCCGGTAATATTATAACTGTACTTGTGTTGAGGGTTTATAATCGATGACAGTCTATAGCATCTATGTAGTGCTATAGAAAGTTGTAAATTAACCGATACATTCGGTCTTTTGCAGCTCAGCAGATACTACTTATCACACCTTCCTGCGACCCATTACACGCACTGATGGAAGCGAGATACAAAGAATCGCATACGATTTTTTTACGAACCATCTCTGTCACTGCCCCAATCAAGAAATGACGCGTAAGGTTGTATTGACCACAGTAGCTTGTCGATAAGTTCATATTCTTTCGCACTAAGCCATACTATGACCTAGACGAGAACATTCACAGCTCGACTCTGTTTTTGGTCGTTGTTCCGCTGCCTCCTACACAGAATTTGTAAAACGGATACAATGTTTTTTCCTTTTGGTTTATTTTGACTGGTCCTGATCTCCCATCCGCTTCATAAAAACCTGAATGGACGATGTCTACCATGCCTTAGTGGTCCCATATGCCAGCGCGGTGGCCAAAAAAAGACAACGATCTCTTGTCACAAGCTAGCCAGCATTAATTCACACCCTTTTGCTTTAGGAAAAATTCTATATAACCGAAAAACAGCTGAAACCCAATATTAGTAGATTTTTAGAGAAGACACACCTACATCTAATCCAATGTCACTGAGCAAGCCTTCTCATACCGATTAGCACACAGATTATATTAACACACAACACGTGAAAACATGATTTCACTGTCAGAACTCCGAGCTCAACGAGGTCGACGAAACGTCGTCAAGGTACCATAGACCATTACGACGTCCCTGAAACGCTGGTCAAAAGCGGTCTTGCACAGTCACAGCTAGTGTCTCCTAGAAGTTATTCACTTAATCATTGAAGAAATTATGTAGCAGCTTCAGGCCGGAGCGATTACGGTAAGCCTCGTTGAGCTCGACGGTGACGGCAGATGACGTCATATTCTGAAGACGGTGGGGCAGTGAAGGAGGGCCTGCTTCTGTTTACGGGGGAACACCTAAGGAATATTCCGCCGTAAAACTTTCATTAACATCGGCTCCCTGTGCGACGAAAAGTTCGATGATGTGCGCCATGGGCAAAGTGTCTCTTTTTTTGGCCACCCCTGTATGTATAGATGGAGTTGCTTTAACACATTCACGCCGATGGCCGCCCATATGGGCTGCCAACAACATGTGCTCCTGGGACGATGGCAGCCCATATGGGCTGCCAGCTAATCGCTTGCCAGGCGCTAGGAATGGACAGATAGGTGGGTAAATCTCGTAATCGAGTGTAAAATGCTTTTAAATTCCTTCACGGGGAAAGTGAATAAATGCTCTCTTTTCGCTACCACTATTCATCGTTTTGATCGAAATTCCACTGATATATTAGGTTGGAAAGAAAGTCCTGCAACACTTTTTCAAATTTTTGATTTTAATTTTATCTTTTTTGTTACAACTCCTGACCGGTCATATCTACCATGAGTGTCCACCACTTGTCTTCAACGCTCAGAAAATTTCTTGATGCTCCTTTGCCAAAACCCAGCGGAGTGCGGGTCGAGAAAGGAGGCGACCTCACTTTCGAGTTGGAGTTGATCGTCTAATTATTTCGTCATCAAGATGATGATTTAAGGTCCAGGATAGGTGGCAGTCATTTATAGCTCGACCAGGGGAATACGCTAAGAGAGGTAAGAAATCTTGCCGCAGCTCCAGAATTTCTTACCGGGCTCATTTCGGATCATGGTGATTCGCAATGTCATGAAAGAAATAAATATTGTCGCGGTACGAGGGCTCCTGACGAGCTGCCTCGGCCAGCTTCTGGAGTTCCGCAGCCTAGACCTCTACCTACACAATGGTGCCCATAACGAAGAATTTGTAGTGGAGCTTCCGTAAGAGCCCTACCTGTAATGGAGTGTGGGGACGCTGCTGGCTTCTTATAAAAATATCAAAAGATCGAAAGCGCTGGTAAAGGTGAAACACGCTGTAGCGGTGAACGGCATGCCTATTGAAGCTATTGCAGATAGTGTCGGTCGTTGACACGAATCCATAGTTATGGAGACATTTGTACTAGACAGTGACTCGGAGTATGGATTTACTAGTGGTCGAGGTTTTTTGAATTTTCTTGGATAACTACTGACTGCAGCACTTATATCCACCTCGTGGATTGAAGCCTCGAGAATGCTCTACCATTTGTTAGTCATAAATGTTACCTATGAATTTTTCAGAAAAAAAGAAAATTTTAGAAAGAGTGTTGCAGAACTTTCTTTCCAACCTAATATGTTTAGATATCTTTACGCATTGGACACTGCACAAATTATTTTGTGACATTCATGTTTTTGTTCATTTACAAAACAAAATCTGCGGTTATGTGGTGAGGCGGCGGCGCCCACAAAATCGCGTCCGTCCCACGCGACCGAAAAGTGGAAAAGGGGCGTCGTCGTGAATGTGTTCAAGAAGTTAGTTACAATGTAACCAAAGCATCTGAATAAAACATGATGTCTTGAAACCGCTTTGAAATGGCCGTTAGATATGATTTGAATAGATGGGATTTTGAATATCTTCAAAAATAACATACACTTGAAGACTCCTTTTCCACTTAGCCG